GCTCGTCTGGTCTTCAACCTTCCTAAATTCTCCCACACCACGCCGCTCCTCTGCTCCCTTCACTGGCTTCCGGTAACTGCTAGAATCCACTTCAAGACAATGGTACTTGCGTACCATGCTGCGAATGGATCTGGCCCTTCCTACATCCAGGACATGGTTAAACCGTACACCCCAGCATGTGCACTCCGCTCTGCATCAGCCAAACAGCTCGCTGCACCCGCACTGCGAGGGGGACCCAAGTTCCCATCAGCAAAAACACGTGGGTTTGCTATCCTGGCTCCAAAATGGTGGAATGAGCTCCCCATTGAAATCAGGACAGCAGAAAGCTTACACATCTTCCGGCGCAGACTGAAAACTCATCTCTTTCGACTCCACTTCGAGCGATAGAACTATTAACAAAGCACTTGTATACTAATAAAGGACTGGCTTATCTAAAGCCAGTTGAGTAGCACTTGAAATGTTTTAGCTCTATGAAACCTGATGTACTTATATGATTCTGTTTTCTTCAAGTTTGTACTTTGTTGGTCGAACGCACTTATTGTAAGTCGCTTTGGATAAAAGCGTCAGCTAAATGCAATGTAATGTAATGTAATAATCAACAAAGATATTGGCAGAGCTACTGGCAGGCAGGGCCCAGCTTGTCCTGGAAAGAGTTGAGAGTGCCACACGCACTGCACCCTGCACCCAGCACATCTCAGATAGAGACTGCTGCCTTTTGTACACACAGCCGAAACAGCTTTAAACTGTTTTGCCATGTCATAAAATCTGGAAATTATTGTTGCTTTATAAATGCAGTAATTTTCCCCTTTGAATAAGTAATCAAAGTTTAGATTACTTTATTTCTAAATGAACTGTCTAGAATGTTAAATGGTTCCTTACTGTACCTTTATTTTGGCTGCTTCCTTTTCATCCCCAGCAAACAGAGACGTCTCATCAAAGGCAAGAGGGAAAGATCTGGGGAAAGACATTTAAAGAATAAACAATCGAGTTGTACACAAATATGACAAGCCCAGAAACTATACACATGAGAATTGAAGTGTCATTGGACATCATTATAAGTTGCTCACACCAGTGCTTACCAATGAAAACAAAATGAAAAAAAATGAACTTAACTTAACTGTCAGTAAAGACGACTTACCAAGTAGAGAGAAATAACTACTCTTTCACTGTTTAATTTAGTCTTTAATGAAATGTATCTCTCCTTAGTTTACTTAAGTTAGGTTTAGCTTACTTGTTTTTGTATATAGGTTTCCTGTCTGGTATTTAAAAAAGGATTATCTTACCAAACATGAAGAAAGAAGTTGGATGTGCTTTTAGTGAAATGTAAACAACACACCTTTAAATAAACAATGAACAAATATTTATATAAAGCTCTTCCTACGTAAAATATTTAAAAACGACATATATTCCAGAGACACAGGCACAGATCTGGAGTCAGTGCTCAGACTGACCGGGCCAGCTGCAGGATGTGCAGCAGCAGCTCCTTGTGTCTGCGGTCCTCCTCCGGCCTGCCAGTGAACAGCCTGAAGGACGGCTGCTGGAAGAAGGGCAGAGCTTTGGCCAGCGCTCGCAGCTCGATCAGGAACAGGAAGTAGAGGTTGCGGAGCCTCTTGGGGCCCTCGCCGCCTGTCAGCTCCGAATCAAAGCGCTGCCTGAACTCCGACACGTTGTGACCCCACTTCTTCTTAAACCAGCTGTCTGAAGGAAGGAAGAATCAGAGAGAGGTGGTTAGGATTCACGGCTAGGGAAATACTGTAGCTCTTAACTGCATCATTATTTTATTCCAGCTATTTTTCAAGATCATTCTGTCTTTCTCAAAGAAATAAGAGTATACAATACATACACTCTTTCTGTCTTCCTGTGCTGCACTTGACTTAGGAGGAAAATGAATGACTAAGTGAATCTGTGAGGGTTTGTGAAAGTGCTAACGTGTCTCACCTTCTAAGAGGTATCTGGCACTCAGGTGTATGTTGATGCTGGAATGGAGGCCAGAGATGAGCCGGTAGAAAGCCCTCTTCTCTACACACTGACCTGAGGGACACAAACACAAATAGTTGACAAATAGAAATGGACAAAAAAACCTCTTTTCTCTTTTCAGGTGAAATGTCAGCTCACCTTCCAGCCAGCTGTAGAAAGTCTTCGCTGTAAATAGAGAAACAAAATGTTGTTGTCATACACAAGTGAAGTAAAAGGTTGGTTTGAATTTAGAGTTAGGAGCTCTTACATTCACTTCCCGGGCTGCTATGGAAGAGGCTGGAAAGGACCGGTCGCTTGATCGTATACGGCCTGTGAGAAAAAGTAAAGGGAGAAAACTATGAACTCCAGTATTTAAGAAGTAGTACACGCACAAAGTATGGTGAGTTATGCTGTTTTTGATCACTTTCAAACTTGCTATTTAGCCATGCTATAGCTGTGGCGGAAGTATTCAGATTGTTTACTTCAGTAAAAGTACCAACACTGCACTCAATGCAAATACTCCATAACAAATACAAGTCCTCGATTCAAAGCCTTCTTATGTGAAAGTGTGCATTATCAGCAATATTTACTTGAGTATGATAAGTAAAAGTATTCATTGTGCAGGAAAATGTTCCTTGTCATTCCTTATTATTCATGCTTCTCAGACTGCAGGTAGTATCCTCCTGTTGTAGATGTTTAAGGTTATGCTTATTTTATATCATTTTTTTACTGAAGGGGATTTCATCTTCATAAATGCCTCATATCTTCGTGGCTTGGTCGCTGTCATGTCGGAATCATGCATCTCTATTTATTTCAATTGCTTGAAAGCCCTGTTTTCAGTTTTGTAACGCTGCAGTTTCCAGCGGACCCAAAAGGGGTTTAAACAGTTTACTTAGCTGAAGAAATAGAACAGATCTTTTCAGCACATAAAGGAACAATTCTTCCTTCAGTTTACCTTAAACAATGGAAATCAACACATCTGAAGATCTGTTTTTGTTCTATAGTTTGAGTGTTTACTTGAAACAGTTCTCCTCATAGATGCTGTTCCAGATCTGCCAGGCCTCCGGTCCTCTGTAGCCAGTGAAGCGCTCAGGGTTCAGCAGCAGGTCCACATACTGAGAGTCTGGAGACTCCTCGTCTGGAGAACAACAACACACAGCCTGCTGTTAATCACTATGACTACCTCTCTTTATCTAGTGTATACCAACAATAGAAAACTAAAGTCAAAGGTGTTGGGGGATTTTCACACTAGGAGACCCTATGTTGCGCTATGATGACCCAGGAAGGTTGGGCGTTGAGAAATGTACTGTATATATAAATAATTTGTGCTTCATTACATTTCCTACTAATTATACATTCATTGGAGTTATATATGCTTATAATTCCTTATGCTAGGTTTTAATAACTGTTCTTCTCTAATAGTAAGCTCAATTTCTCATTCACATTCATAAGTATCATTCCATTTATATTTCAAAAAGCATGTATTTCATCATCATTATGTTTCCTATGGGAAAGTTTTTTTTAAAGTATGCATTTTTTTATCAGATTTCCCATAAATGATCTACTTTCTACATTTATATTTTCAAGTATTTACATTATTTTAGTTAGTTTTACCTTAATATTCCCTAAATTGTTTTTATTTTGTATCTTACCAGAACCATTTAATTTTTTGATCCTAATTAAAAGACACAAGGTGGAGGAATCTTCTGTTCAGCAGTCGTGTGTTTTTCATTTGTGGTTTACTATACTATGGGATCTCGTGTTTAGTGCACCTGATCAAAGACAAGAATTTATTGTGTTTTAGTTTTTGTTAGTTCATTCAGTCGTTTGCTCAGCGGACGGGTTGAAAACATACCATCGACAACACAGAAGCGCTCTGCCTCGTCGTCGTGTTTGCTCCAGTTTAGCAGAGCTTCTCTGGTCGCCTTACTGGAGGTGAAAACAGACAAGTATGTCGGTTCAACTTTCTATTATATTATATTACAGAAATATTTCATATGAGCCTGCACTTTTAAAGTAATATTGTGTGTATTAATGTTAATGTTTGACCGGTAATCTGATATTATCTCTACTCACCTTAAAGAAATATCTACAGCTCCGAGGTTCTCCGCCAGCTCACACTTTACCAGCTGCTCCTTTTCTTCTGCTGAATACTGAAAACAAAAACAATAGATGGTATTACATTAAAAAAAGAATGTTATAATTAAATGTGTTTAAGTGTACTGATTGGGTAGGATGCAGCAATTTTCTTAATCCAAGAAGATTTTACGAATTAACCATAATTAGTTACTCATTTTAATAACCAAATTAAATTCATAAAAATGTGTTTTCTCTTCATATCCCAAATAAATGTTAAAAGACCTCAAGATATATAGCAATTATTACAGCCCGGTTGGTAAGTAATTATAATACCAACATTATTATGTTATAATGCAACATCTTTGAACAAATGCATACATTTTGATAGTAACGCCAGTATTTGGTGTTATTATCCCAAAATGTGTTAAAATACCCTCCAAAGTAGTTATTCTTTAAATTCTATAAATCAGTTTCACGATTTGGAAATGTAGGGGTGTTAATGTGCACTATAGAGAAATGTTTTTCATCAAATATGTTTAATGATGATTTTTTTCAAAAAGGTTTTTACTGTGGGCTGCTCTGCTGACGGAGACAAAGCTGGTCCTGACTGACTCACCTTGTTGTGTGATCTGATTCCCTCTGGCACTTCGTTCTGTGGACACACACACATGTTAGTGAATCTGATGTAAACACAGGTGAGTGTTTTGTTTACAGCAGGTAGGAGTGATGAGGGTGGGACTCACAGGAGAGCAGGGCTTCACAGCGCAGTCCTTCAGACCACAGTGACTGCTGGACGACCAGAACGGACACGCCTTGTTCAGGTTTACCTGCAGTGTCCCAGGACCAAGCAACACACAGGTTAATCTGTGTGTGTGATCGTGGGCATGTGTGTGTGTGTGTGTGTGTATGTGTGTGTGTGTGTGTGTGTGTGTGTGTGTGTGTGTGTGTGTGTGTGTGTGTGTGTGTCAGGCCGCCTTACCTTGTAGAACCTGAAATAGTCGGACTCCAGAAGAGTTTGAAGTTTGGAGAAGAGCTGGTTGTTGTTAAAGCCGTCAATGGTCTCCACATCACAAGTACAGTCGTCCAGATCTCCTGTGAGCTTCGTTGGATGAAAACAAAAAACAAACTTTTGTTTTCTTTATTTTGTTTCTTGCTGCTTACAGTAAGATTTGTTTTACTAAGCTTTTTTTTAAATCATGTCTCCACCTCAATGCTCAGCATACAGCTGCTTATGAGATCTTCTACTTGAATAATAGTAGCAGCACCGCAATACCAATGAATGACTCATTTTCAAATCATATACTTGTGGCAGCTGGAAAATCTGACACAATACAATGATTAACACTCAAATGCATTTCTTATTACACTAAAAACACGGAAACGTTGACTTAAATGTTTTATGTATACAAATTGCACATAACTGTATAAGGTTAATTGAAAGCAAAAATATCAAGTTGAACCTGATAATTTTTATTTAAACATAATATTATTGCTTTCAAGGAAACCAAATATAGTTATGTGAAATGTGTTGACATGATCACTTTAATTAAATCAACCTTTCAGTTTTTTCAGTGTATAATCCATAAATATAATTAAATGTATTATCCCGAGAAAATATATACATATAAAAATATGTTTTGGTTATTAAGTATTGTTTGATGTATTGCTTAAACTTTTGTCCTTTTGGATAAGTAACTAAATGAATGCAGGGTTTCACTTGTAACAGAGTATTTCTACACTGTGGTATTACTACTATTACTTTAGTAAAATATCGTAGTACTTCTTCCACTTCTGTTGAAGAGTGTAAAATAACATTAGGCTACTTGAAGAAGCTCCATGCAGGATATTACTCTGTGTGACAGCTCTCACCTGACAGAAGCACCTGCTTTCTGCACATCCGGACACCTGGAGGAGGAGCATGAGGACCACCAGCTTCATGACGACCTCCGCCTCAATCTACACCACCCTGTCTGTCTGTGTGTGGAAAGCTGCACTTCTGTAGTTTAACTGGAGACCCTGGGAGGAGAAGGAGGCGATCTGATGCCAAGTTTTTGCTTCCTGGTATTTCTTCATTTCCACCCCGCTACGTGTAATACGTGACAGGATGATCGGCAGCGTTATTCCCACAGTGTGATCGCATTTAGATACATGTTGCACACAAATCGTCTCCAGGCTCTTTTATTTTTAAACTGGAAGTGAATATTCTTCCTGTTCGCTCACAAAACAATCCGACTGAAACCTTAGGCCTATGTCCAAAAAATAAATAGCCCACTTTTCCCATTTACTATATTACCCTTTAATATAATAAGCACCCGTGCGTATTGCTATGTAGGCCTATAGCAAAAAACACAGCCACAAATATATTCTTAATTTGATAATATACAATTGTTTAGAACAATTTAAACCTATTTTCCAAGATGATGAAATTATATCAAGGCAGGATGTGATTTAATTGATAAAATAAGAAAATAAATACGAAGGTAACACACGTGCTAATAACTTAACTTAATACCCTTTTTTCCTGTGTTTTTAATGGGCTTTTTTGTGTTTACGTGCAGTTTAGTTTAAAATGGGTGACGTCTCTAAATTGTAATACCACACACCAACCACACGGTGAAGATAGAGAGCATTTATACTTTTTTTTTTTTTTTACACTTAAAGGGACATGCCGTTCAAATGAGATGAACACAGTGCCATTGGTTTAGAATATGTTGCATTGCTGTATGAAACAACCCAAAAATAAATACAGCTGTACTATTAATCAAAAAACAACCAGAAAATAAATACAGCTGTACTATTAATAAAAAAAACCGCAGATACGTGTGTGTATATACCACACACTGTCAGGAAATGTTTTACTGCACAATGAATACTTTCTTACCTAAAGACAATTGTGCCCATGTTGCATGTGCCTATTACATAGCCTACTTTCACATAAATACGATTTGATTGTTATTTGTATTGAACTGTGGTGGAAGAAGTATCTTCACACCTTTGACAATGTAGTAAAATAAACTCTGTTTCAAGTCAAAGTAATGCAAAATTCTATATGTATACTCAAAGTACCACAAATATACAACAATTCATTATGGAGAAAAATGTATAATTGATTAATCCATTAGTGAGCTTAACTTGAATTTTCTAACAGAAACAGTTGGTTGAATGAATATTATATATGTTTTTGAAATTATATGCTGCATTTCAAATCTGAAAATAAACTTATAACACATATCTTTAAATGTATTTAGTGGAGTAAAAAGTAATATTTGCATAAAGACTACGATTAATATATCCAAGTAAAGAACGAATAGGCAACCTCTTCTTTCTCTCATTGTAGCCTACATGTATAATGACATTAAACGATTATATTATATTATATTCTTACATGTTACACCACTGTTAAAAGTTACACCACTGTTACAAGTTACTCCACTGTTACAAGTTACACCACTGTATCCAAGTAAACTCATGAGAACCAAACACATTTCTTGTGAACGGAGATGTTTACCATCAGCTTCATGTCAATTTGGATTTATTTGAAATATTTTAATATTTGTTCTTGTTTTATTGAGTTTGTAGTTTCGTCTCTCTCTCTCTCTCTCTCTCTCTCTCTCTCTCTCTCTCTCTCTCTCTCTCTATTTTGGTGCTTCCTCGCGCTGCCAAGCCCCTGACGTAATGCTCCGCTGTTAATGATTAGCATGTGGAAACGAGCCTCCCTGCATCAAGGCTGCCAAAACGCAGCCGGAAGTTGACTGATCCTGCCTTCAAAATAATTTTCCGTGGCAATTTACAAACACCAGAAAAGTTAGTTTAAGATCAAATGCGTTAGTGCAAGAATTTCCTAGATTTTATGCAATCTTTGATACAAATAAAAGTCCTGCTTTCAAAATGTTATTTATATCAAGGTACACAAATAGTAAAGCTTAGTAAAAGAGTACCAACATTGAACAAACTCTTTATGCAGGAGGGCCCATGTAAGAACAATGTACGGTATATTGTAATATTGAATTATGATCATTCACAGATTAATGTTTGTATCACATATTATATATTAATACATTATATTTGTGGATGTATATTATGTATATATTAATGTTGCTATAGGCAAATTTGGAAGTCATTTTAATTAATATTGCTTCACATAATGCTGTGAGCAGCTTCATTTTATAGGAATATTTATTGACAATATTTTTGTGGTAATAATCACAAGAAGAAAATAAATATAATACAAAAAATTGGGTTTCTTTTCCAACATTGTTGACTCCATGTATTCCTTTTGTTTTTTGTATGTTACACTGTGAAAAACGTGTTTTTTCTCAAGTCTTATATATTTTTAAGAAATACTTAAAGTGAGCACTGTTAAGGTGAGAACACCTTTAAATAATTCTGTTTTGTTATTGATCAGTAGGCCAATATACGAAGCTTAGTAATAACCACACCGTACAGTTAAACCTATTTATATGCATGTGGCCTAATTTATTGGCCTCTCTACATGTGCACTCTTTTCCCACAATGTTCTTAAGGAATAAACATAATTATGTTACCTTTAAAAAACTACTGCAGCCTATGTTATGTTACCTTTAAAAAACTACTGCTGCCTAATCAAATGAGAGGAGTAAAGTCCTAATGGATAATATACGCAACGAAAACAAAATAACATGGTTGTAGCAGTTGCTCTCAATTAAGTAAAATTAATATTTACTGTAGAAAATTGTTAATCTTCGTCGCACTGCAGTACTTTATTTTGAAAGCTTTAACCGGAAGTCATGAACGGCTGCCTTCCATCTGCCAGTGGTGCTTTACACCAGAGCAGCCGAGCAGAGCAGCCCGTCTGCTGGGGAGAGACAGAGGAAAAGTTAGTCAAGATGGCAAACCTCACAGACCCGGAGTGAAGGGGCACCGCTCCCCGAAAAAAGCTGAGCCTGTCGCCCTCAACAATGCGAACTGCTGCAGGAGGTAAGGACCATAGAGCTCGGTTAACCGTTTTCACCAAAACTCAAATATTCAAGTTGAAGTTTCTAAAAAAAAGACTTTGTTTTGTTCACTCTTCTTTTCGGCTCCAATATTTATTCAAGAAAATACTAACGTACATAACCCTTGCTATCTATCAGAACCAGACTTTGTGGAAACACCTTTTCTCGTTTGAGTTAGTGGCAATGGTTAATGTTATTTCGTAGCCGTTTATTTTAGTGTTTGGAAATATAACTTTGCTTACGTTAACTTATGTTAAAGTTACACGGTTCTTCCATGGGACAAAGCTTGGTACACAAACGGATAGGGGGATATTCGGTATTTTTACAAACTGCTCACACACACACATCTCCGCCAACGGTCGTTCTTGTGTGCTGATGAAGCAAAGTGACAGTTTTAGACAGCGGCTAACGCTCAGTCTGCTCCTAGCTTTCTCTTCGATGTTTCTTCTCTTCTGGCATAAACTCACTACTACCGCCAGCCCTCGGTCTGAAACACGTCTTTATGAGACTAACCTGTCATTAAAATAACGGAGGGAAGTTGCCGCTTACGTCTCTACAGCAGAAAAAGCTCTGCCACCGGCCACCGTCGGTAACCCGGTGTCCTTCCCTCGGAAAATTCCGGGATGCAGCGCCAGTAGTACCGACAGCTGTATTTTTAGGAATGGGTGGATACCAAAAACGAAAATTATTTATTTTTGTCTCGGCGGTGAATGCCACAAGCCTATGCGCAAGGCGATGGCGAGGAGGCGACCTATAAATGCTGTACGAGTTTTTGAAGGCTGTTTTTTCCTATTCCAGCTGCACAAAGTCTGCAGAGCTGAAGCAACAGGGACACTGTCGCATTTCTAGTGAGGCTGTCTTCTCTAGTGCACTGTAAAAGTCATAGCATGTGTAGAAAGAGAGGGAGAGGCATGTACAAGGAGCCATAAGAGAGCATTTTCTGTTCAAAAAATGTTTTTTCAATCCTCCACTAACTTCCAACATCCTCCTGCAGGCTTAAGAGGGATTCCCTGAAGAAAAATGCCAGCGAGGCTGAAGCTGATGTGACACAGCTTGTGCTAGAAGAAAGCTGACTCATCAAATATCAATCCCTCTGGGAGCTACTAAGCAGCAGTGCAGCTCATATCTCCTAATGCCTAGCTAGAAGAGATCTTCACACACACACTCCCCTACCACCAGCGGAGATTATCAGAGAGGAGAAGACGTTGCAGAAACCCCCTCCAGCAGGAATATATCCAACACCGGTTGAAACACATTTGAACACCAGAAAGCATAACAGTGACTGCTGTCCTAGCTGCCAACAAAGCTTTAGTATGGCATCACAGTGCTTCAGCTGAACTGACTCCCTGTGTATAGAAACATCAAGAATCAGCTGATAAGACTGCCATCATTCTACGTCACTGTTACCACAAACCAGTGTAGAGTTTGGGTAAGGTCGTTCCTCCTAACCACCAAAGTCATCCGGCCTTTTCCCCGCCCGGCAGACCATGATGTTTCGCGATCAGGTGGGCGTGCTAGCCAGCTGGTTCAAAGGGTGGAATGAGTGCGAGCAGACAGTGGCTCTGCTGTCCCTGCTGAAGAGGGTGAGCCGGACCCAGGCCCGCTTCCTGCAGCTCTGTCTGGAGCACTCCCTCGCCGAGTGCACTGAACTGCAGGTCCTGGAGGCAGAGGCCAACAACCCAGGTAGGACAACCATCTGCTTAGACACCGTCAGCTGCTACATCATCCACTAGGATAGGATGGAGATGCATTTACAGGCATTGACAGAGCAGATTTATTCATTCATTCCTCAGACTAAATTGATATCCTTATATTTGTCTTATTAATAGGGTAGTGACTATAATATAATACATCTACATTGGCAAATAAACTATTCTAAGATTGTTTTTAAACGTATTTCTGACAGCCGGGACAGATGAGAATATAGCAACTTTCCCCCTTTGGTCTCCAATCACTATATCTCCTTTACTTTTGTAGTTGATCTTTTTCTTATTCATTGTTCATGTTGTAGTTGATGTCACACTCCTGGTATAGACGACATTCATTTTCTGATAAGAAAGAGTGAAAGGAGACACATTTTTAGAACTCTTATTCCTTTTTGACCAAACACTTATGAATGCAAAGGGCTTTGAAGGCCATAATATCCCGGATGACTGTCCAAAACACTAGTGACTAGCTGAATCACTGTCAGTCAGTCAG